CACATTTATTTGGTACAAGAATTATTAATTTAATTATTATTTTTATTAAGTAAATATTTATATTTACTTTAAGTAAATGTTTACTTAATGCTTAAAAAATATTAAAATTTATATAGTAATTTTTTCAGTATATCAATAAGTTTGATTTCAGAGAATCTGGGAACGTATTCAGCAAATCACATAAAAAGAATTATCTATATAGCAAAAGATAAATAATAAATTAAATTGAGATTAAAATTTAATCTAATGGCGGAATCTTAATCAATATAAAACGATTATATAGCATTTTGACATCCTTAAGTCTGTTTTTTTACAGCTGAACTAATGTGCACTTGTTTCAGAAAGTGCACACTAGTTCAGGTGTAAAAAAACAGACCTAAGGATGATTGCAGACGGAGGATTAAAACGATCTTAAATATAATCGAACTCTGAATATTGTCGTAAAATCAGAACAGCGACAGCGACTTCCATCAGAGCTGTTGCATCCAGAATAACGAAATTACGACGGAATTACGACGTTCGAAGACTCGATTATTCAAAACGCAAGAGATTCCATATGCCCGTTACGGCCCTGAGTTGTACAATGTACATGCTCACCTCATATCAAGCGCACAGCTCAGGGAGGAGTTTCTGCTGTCGGCGGTAATGTTAGAAACGGCAGAATACGGATTGCCCTTGCACTTCCCGCACGCATAGGCCATTTCAGAGAAATTTGAGAATGAAATTTCCTTTGTGCTCAAACAGACTAGCAGACTACAGATGGAGGGTTAAGTAGGTTGTTTTTTGTTCCTGCATTAAATGAATGTGTCTCCACAAAACATATATCTATGCAGGAACAAAAAACAAACTTAACCCTCCATCTGTAGTCTGCTAGTCTTTTTCGGCACAAACGAACTTTCATTCTCAAATTTCTCTGAAATAGTAATTGTTAAGAACGGCGGAGTAAGATTTTAACATTTGAGTTAAAAAACTATTTAATAATGTGACAGAGATGTTGGAAAATAATCCTGAATTTTTCTACATTCTTTTTGAAAACCTAGAACAGTAAAAGAACTTGGGGATAAAAAAGTCTTAAGTATATTGCAGATGTACGAAGTAAAAAGTGATTGCAGATGGAGGATTAAAACAATGTTAAATATAATCGAACTCTGAATATTGTCGTAAAATCAGAACAGCGCGACAGCGAGCTTCCATCAGAGCTGTTGCATCCAGAACAACGAAATTACGACGGAATTACGACGTTCGTAGACTCGATTATCCAAAACGCAAGAGATTCCACATGTCTGTTACGGTCCTGAATTGTGCAATGTACATGCTCACCTCATATCGAGCGCACAGCTCACGGAGAAGTTTCTGCTGTCGGCGGTAATGTTAGCAACGGCAAAACACGGACTGGCCTCGCTCTTCCCGCACGCATTAGCGATCGCGAGGCACGTTCTCCCTAGTAATCGTAATTTTCCGCGATACGGCATCTTTTAACAGGCGTAATTGTTGATAGGGGGAGAGGGAGAGATAGGCGAGCTGAGAACGAGACAGGGAGCAATGAGGAGCTAATCGGTCAATGAAAGTCAAAAGCAGCCGAGAGATACGAACACCGTGAAAGACGAGACGCAACTGAGAAGTGAAAACTGAGGCCACATAGGCCGACAGGCCACGCTCTCAACTCTCGCGAGTGTCACGCACGCCTGTCACGCGGCACGTTGGGGGTCCAACCACGTGATCTCCTGATAAAAAAAGAAAGGAAAAAGACCGATTTATGCAATATTTTAGACAGATTAACGAAAAAGAGGAAAAAAGAGAAACGTTAAGAATTGTTGAATGTATCTTAAATGAGAACGCTTGCGAATCGATGAGTATGACGTTGCAAAAAATGTGTAATCTTATCATTTTAGAGCGATATCGATTGTACAAATAAATATAGCTCCAACATTTGCGACAAAAAACGTTAGAACCGTATACACTGTCACCAATTTTCCGTCTAATTAAATACGTGAACTTTATTGTAATGGAGGAAGGCGCGAGGAATTGCGAAGAAAAATTTTGCGTTTTCCATAATTAATATTTTGTAATACTAAACTAATATAATAATAATAATATACAAATATTATTTAATATTCTGTTTACTAAAATCTCGATAAAGATATAAAGATAGATATATATGATAATTAAAACACTATCTATAAATATTTACGCAGAATATTTTATGATACATCCAGAAGAATAGACATTAGCATTTGATTATGTAATAAATATAATTAATATTTAAGTAAAAGAGAATGCGATCTATTTTAATAGTATCATCTTTAATATTTAATCAAAAGCTTACAATGTAGCAATTAACAATTAGATTAAGGTAACGGTTTTCTCTGAGTGATTCTGAACTCTTCGCGATTGTGATATGGTTCGTACGGATCATCAATATAATAGTGCCGTCTCTTCCAGTACTTGGATACCATCTTGTCCAGAAGTGTCGACTGTGTGGCATTACAGAACACGTGTCTCCTCAGTCTCTTCTTTCTGCTGGTCGATTTTTTCCACAGCTTATTGCGTCGACCTGATCTTGTTCTAATCCAGATACCCCTGCAACATTTTCTTTTATATCTCTCGAAATTTCGAGTTTCTACAAATGACTGATATTCGTTCTTGAAGCTCAGTTTCACTACTTACAGTTAACTCTTAACCTCTTAATTTTAGAATTGAAAAAAGATGGGAAACAAATTGAACCTCGGTTAAAAATTAACCGAATAAATTGTGAAACTGGACTTAAGTATTCAAGACCATCTTAAATTATAACACAATTTAATATACACAATTATTTTCCAATTCTCTATCACACATGATGAGTCATTTGTATTTCAGATTATTTTTCATCACCTTAACAAATATAGAAAAATTATGGAGTGATTCTTCCCAATACTTTATCTATATACTTTATCTTTCGAAAGTATTAATATCAAACTACTCTTCGCTCTGACAAAGATCTGCGACGATATTTATAAAATGTTGGCATTCCAAAAGAGGATAATCCTGATAACAAATAGTTTCTATAAATAATTCCTCATTGTGGAATCCTCAAAAAGTATTATCTTTAGATTTGTATAATGATATAAGATTGTGTATATTTAAAGAAATTGTATATAAATATTTAACTAATTATCTGATGTAATCTTAGTTTTTTTTAAGAAATGTTTAAGACATGATTGACTCAATAGTGTGTACTAAGGATTAAAATGCTAATGTGAGTAATTTATCATGTCTTAAAACTTAAACATCTTAAGACAATACTTAAAACGGTCTCAAATATAAGTATCAATCAACGATTGTTCAGAAATATTTGATGCAATCTATAATTTTCGATATTATTATGTGCCTGATATATTCTTGAAATATTACCAGTGCAATCGGTAGAAACGTTTTAGGACTGTCTTCACGGTCTGCCGCTTTCCTTTTGACATAGTAAACTTGATTACAGTTCTTACTGGCACATTAATAGGTTCTGCTGGCAAAGCTAGACGATTTTCCGTTACCGCATGGCTGAAAAGATAATATTACTTTCATGTAGCAACTTAGTATCTTAGTATCTTACATAAAAATCAACACAATCACTTCTGCAATATTCTGCATTACTTTAGTGTCTTATGTTGCGTAGGTCCGACAGCTGCCCATTTCTGGACAGCAATTGATAGTGCCCCAAACTCTCTGTGTTGCATGGAATTCAAAACGGAATTGCATCTTGAAGTAATGCAATTTGTCGCATTTATACTCGTCGTTCTCACTGCGATTCCTGAAAGAATACTAAATCCAGTACGTGTGCTTGCAAGATAAATTACAAAACCAAGGAAAAATGACTTATATTTTAAATGTACACTACCGTCCGAAAATTTAGGATTATAGGACCAATGTGATATATAATCTTAAAACACATAATATTTATAGTAAAATAATAAAACAAATAGTGCAATTCTGGTAATTGTTTCTTTACTTAATTATACCAGGATCATATTATGATGCAGTGAAAAATAAAATTGGACTTGTGAATATTTTAATTAAAAAGAACATAAAATTAAGTCTTTAAAACATTTGATCTTAAACTATCTGACGGTAGTGTATGTGATAAAATGTTTAATTATGCGTAAGTAAGTCTTAACATGTATGTACAATTGTACAAGTAGAATGTCAAACTCCAATAAGCACCAATTAAAAATAATATAAATCAATGTTATGATTTCACATTTGATGATGGCTATATTCAGCAGAAAAAGCAGCTTTACAACTATTGTAAAATTCATTAATATAATTTGAAATGTATTTACTAGGTTTAAATGCATAAATTTTATACATTTAAATCCAGTGAGGAAGTAAGGACAAAACTAATCACACTAAAGAATTTTACAAAGATTGCAAAGCTACTTTCTCTGCTAAATATAGTTAATGTAATTGTTATTGAGAATACATGTATTATATTATTACATTTATATTGTTGAGTATGATTATAACATTAATGTTATGCTACTTTTAGATGGTGTTCACTGGGAGTTGTTTCGTAGATTGGTTTTTTTCGAATTGAAACATACATATTATATGGGAATTTTTACGTATTGATCTACATTGAATTTAATTTAAAAAAGAATTAATTAAATATGATAATGCTGCGAATAAAAGGTGCCCAAGAAGACGTAGATCTCGACGTTCGTGCGAGACGACAACCCTCAAGTGGACGTTCAAACACGCGCCAGCGTTCCAATTCCACAGCGTTCCTTCCGCCAGCCGCGTGTCATGGCGACCGCGGCGACGCGAACCTAACCTGCCGACGTTTTGCATCCCATTGTTCGCGACGCAATCAAACGTGAAATTGCTGGTGTATCATGGTGCAGCGTACGGCCGACGTGTAATAACACCTCGTGACGCGGACATCGATCGCAGGATCGGCCGCGGACTACATGTACACCTACCTCGCAGCGCCGCGCTCACGGCACGCAACATTCTTCTTTTCGCGTAATTCCGTCCGGTCTGGTTCAGTCCCCGTGACCAGCTGTTCTCCCAGTGCCGTCGTTCCCCTTTTCCCGCTGGCTGCCTGACCGGCCACTCGAAAGATGTTCCGAATTGGATTAAAATTTCCTTACAACGGTCTGAATCGGGTATGTAGTCACGTGCGAGAGGACCGCAGACGGGCGGGACACGATCATCCGGGTAAGACCGTCCGCGTTAAAATACCGCGAGGAATCGTCGCGGAGCGACTGCACGATGACACGACGGCGTGACGTCTTGTCTTCACGACAGTGTCGCGCGACGATCCCGCGTCGACCGATTCCACCGCCGTCGGCTATCGTGTGTTCACCGATGGTCGACGACGAGCGTCATGGAGTCGGGTAAGCTACAACAACGGCGATCCCGGGGATCCGTTTTCGCGAACGTCCGACCGCGGCCGACGTTTCCCGGCTCTCACGCGTGACAAAGATGGCATGTTTTCAAGAAGGCTTATGTAACTCCAAAAGCTCTGATTTCGATGCCGTTTACTCTTTCAGTTAAAAAAACATGGTTCCTCCAGGCCACATCTAATCGCCAGGTACTACGAATCGCGGGCACGCATCAAGTATGAGCCAGATGGAAGGTGAGCTCTTCAACAGAGGTTTAAGTCTGGACAGGTATCATTGCTTGTTAGACCTGTCATTAGTCAGTGGAGATCATGCTCGTGTTTTGTGAATCTCAAAACGCGAATGATACTATGCTTTCATGTTATTTACGAGCAATTTGGTGTGGTGAAATCAGAACGTGGTGAGGTTATGTTCGCGCATGTGTTTTCCTTAAATAAAGATGACTGATGAGTAATCTTATGAATGGCATCTATCACGTTCATGATTTTATCACCATTATATTTGACAGGTTTGTTGAATCGTTTTGACAAGTTTGTTGGGTTGTTACTTAATACGAGAGTTGTTAACCTTTAGCGAACAATATAATTTTATTTAAAAGGTTTGTTCTTTTTAGTTGAACTTTTTTACAGTTTATCTTTCCTATTCGTATTAAAGAAAGGGAAAAATTAACATACAAAAAGTTTATCTAAAAAGAATAGGCTTAATTATTTTTTGATATGTAAATTGTGTATCTGTATGTATATTATGTTACAATCAAAAGAGAGAGAGAGAGAGAGAGAGTGTGTGTGTTCTTGACTTCCATCTGTGCTCCTCGGGTGTCATTCTTGTTTAACGTTTGTCAAACACAATCTGGAGATACAGTAGTGTCTCAACGCTAAAACAAAAACATGGCGAGACATAAGAATAACATGATACCTAGGGAACACCCAGGTAGAAATCCGAACATGCCCCAAAGTGTTAACTTTAATAAATGTATATACATATTAGTATATGTATCTACATATTAGTCAATGTATCTAACTACAACAGACTACACTAAGTGTATATACATTTACTGAGTTAACATTTTGACTGTAATATATATACAAAAATATAGATTTTTATATTTTTTTTAGACTTTACAGGGATGTCAGATTTATATCCAGGTTTACTGGGCCAAGATATTCGACCGCACCAAAAAGGTATAACATGCAGAACATGAATTATAATATTTATTAGCATATTATTTATTAAATTAATGCATATATTTCTGTTATTACCTTTCTGTGATTTTATATGTGCTAATTATTCATGTAAATTTGGTAATGTGAGAAAAAGAAGAAATCATCAGTTTAATCATTAAATTTATCTTAATTACTTGTGTTTTTCATAACAGTGTCAAAAGTCAGGGATCAGGAATACTGATAACTCTAGGCGCTGTAACAATAGGTACCTTAGGAATATTAACATATGCAAAAGGAAACCCAAAGGTTCGAGCTACCCTCGAAGGATGGATTCCGGGTACAGATGAAACTATCCGAATTATTTTTCAAGAAGATAAAAATTCCAGCTATTTTGACTTTGTACTTACGTTCTTCGAAACGGTGAAGCAGACGTAAGAAAATAAAAATTATGTATAATATTAATAATTATCTCTTAATTACTTCATTGAAATATGGATGTTTTTTACAGAATATTAGGCATGTTCATCAAGGAAGCACCAGAACCAGGTCAGACAAGAGTACAATACACAAAAATTGTAGAATACATACGTGAGTCCAAATTCCTTAACTCCTGTCCATGCCTTATTTTTTCCTAGTACTTTCTCTTCTGGCCTTCTAGATCTAGTTCCTTTTCTTGATTCTTTTTAAGATTATATATATTACATACTTAATAAATAATATTCCCACTAACTTTTAACAATTACATGTATATACTGTAGCGCCCAAGCCAGCTTTTAAACTGGCCGATCAGAAAGAAGCTCCTATTAACAAGAATTATGCCGAAATTCACATTAGTAAAGACAAGGGCGAAAAAGTCGATGTTGGTACGTTTGCATTATTTCTCTTTTACAGTTTTAAAGTTTAAGTAGAAGATAATTCATATTTTTATAGTGGCTGAGAAGCTAGTGTCACCTGCCAAAATTGTACGCGATGAATTAATACCACAAAATCTCATCGAGTTAGAAACATACTGTGGAGAAGCTGCTGGTAAAGCTATTGCGGCCTATCAGAAGGCAGTGTATGCGCTTCAAGAATACAATCAGAATATTGCCAAAGTGATTGAAAGTACTGGCACTACAGTAAACGGAGCCGTCTGGCAAAGGTAACCATCGCTGTATGCTTACATAATCGTTGTATGCCTCACTTGTATATCGATTATGTAATCAAATTTGTCACATTTGCAGGTTAAAAGAGGCAACAGAAAAGAAGAAACAGACTGTACAGCAAGCAGAAGAACACGCGAAAGATGCATTAGATTCGCTTAAGCGTATGTACAATTCAATCGATGAACCTGTGCTTGAAGCGGCCGCTCACATGAAAACGGCTGCGAAGCGAAATATTAGAAAAATTATGGACGATGTGGACGAAGCTAAGAAAAAATACACTGATGAATTACAGAGTGGTAACGTCGCGGAGCGCTACTGGAAGCAGGTTCAAACAGCACGAGAGAATTTCAATGAAGAATTGCATATTCTGTTTCCTAATATAAATATTCATGATAAGAAGCTATCTGTTAGCGAAGAAGCCTTCGATTTATTCGTCTTGCATATGTATCACAAAGTCAACAATCTGCAAAAAGAGCTGGAGAAATTAAGAGTGAGTTTTTAGCGTTTAATGTAAATATTGTAATCTCTAAATTTATATTTCCGAAACGTTTTTGTGCGAAACCACGCGATTTTTACATGGAGTTAATATTTTAATATTGCATTAATAACAATATTTTTAGAGAGAAATTATTTAATTTCAGACAGTCAACGAAAATAAAGTGAAAGCGGCACTGAAGACGGTGGGTGAAGACGCAACTCAAGAGAAATTGAACGCTCTGATCTCCCTCGAAGTTAATCGAGAGAGACTTGAGTTAGTAGATAAGCTTGCGAAAGAGGTAAGAAATGTGTTTAATATATTTTCAGCTTGAAATATTTTAATATATTTTTAACTTGAAATATGAAAATCGCAAGCACAGAAAAGCACTTTATCTACAGAAAATTATTTTAAATTTCTCAGAATGACCTATAAAATTTTTGGTCTGTTAGTCATATTCATCTAATTCGCGTAAGTAATGCGATCTTATCCCATTGTATACTGTTGCATTATGTCTTTGTTCCGCTGTAGAGAG